TTAAAGACATGGATGGAGTAAGCTTTCTGGACCTTCATTTGCTGGTGTGCCATGACTCAAAATGAGAAAAAAGAGCTTCAAACATCCAAAAGTAATCAGAATGTGGAACGTATGAAACATGAATCAAGGAAAGTTGGAATGGTCAAAAATGAAATGGAATGCTTGAAGATTGATATGTAAAGCATTAGTAAGTTGAAATGGCCTGGTATTGGCTTATATGAATCAGATAATCATATGGTCTTCTATGCAGGGAATGACAAATTGAACAGGAATGGCATTGTATTCACTGCCAGAAAGAACATTTCAAGATCTATTCTGAAGTACAATGCTGTCAGTGACAGGATAGCCATACACCTACCATAAAGACCAATTAATATGACTATTATTCAAATTTATATACCAACCATTAATGCCAAAGATGAAGAAATTGAAGATTTTTTTTACCAATTTCTGCAGTCTGAAATTGATCACACTTGCAATCTAGATGCCTTGATAATTACTGGTGATTGGAATGTGAAAGCTGGAAACAAAGAAGAAGGATCAATAGTTGGAAAATAAGGCATTGGTCAGAAAAATGATGCCAGAGATTGCATGATAGAATTTTGCAAGACCAATGAATTATTCATGATAAATGCCTTTTTTTCAACAACATAAATGATGACTACACAGGTAGATCTCACAGGATGGAATCGAGAGAAATCTAATCAACTACCTCTGTGGAAAAAGATAATGGAGAAACTCAGCATCATCAGTCAGTCAGAATAAGGCACAGGGCCGACTGTAGAACAGATCATCAGTTGTTCATATGCACACTCAAGCTGAAGCTAAAGAAAACTAGGAACAAGCCAAGACAGCCAAAGTATGACCTTGAGTATACAAAAAAAAAAAAAAAAAGAAACCCAACCAAGCAACTGTCATCGCCTCAATTCTGACTCATGGCAACCCTATAGGACAGAGTAGAACTGCCTCATAGGGCTTCCAAAGTGTAAATCTTTACAGAAGCAGACTCTCTCATCCTTCTCCTGTGGAGCAGCTGGTAGGTTGGCCTTTTGGTTAGCAGCCTAATATTTTCACCACTGCACCACTATAGCTCCTAAACCTTGAACCTTGAGAACATCCCACCTAAATGTAGAGTTCATCTAAAGAATAGATTTGATGCACTGTACACTAATGATTGAAAATTAGATGAGTTACAGGATGACATCAAGGATGTCATACATGAAGAAAGCAAAACATCAATCAAAAGACAAGAAAAAAGTTCAAAACAGATGTCAGAAGAGACTCTGAAACTTGCTCTTGAACAGAGCAGCTAATGTGAAAGGAAGAAATGATAAAGTAAAAGAGGTGAACAGATGATTTTGAAGGTAGGGTCAAGAATACAAAGTAAAGTATTATAATGAAAGTACAAAGAACTGGAGTTAGAAAATCAAAAGGAAGAACATGCTCAGCATTTCTTAAGCTAAAAGAAATGAAGAAAAAATTCAAGCCTCAAGTTGCAATAGAAGGATTCTTTGGGCAATATGGGAGCTTTGGTGGTGTAGTGCCTAAGGCATCTGACTGATAACCAGAAGGCTGGTGGTTCAAACCCACCAGCCACTCTTTGGAAGGAAGATTGAGCAATCTACTTCCGTAGTGATACTGCCTCGGAAACCCAAGGAGGGGTGGCTATGAGTTAGAGCCAACATGCCAGCAGTGAGTTTGGTTTTTTGGTTTGATGGGCTGCAAAAAGGACAAGAAGGCCACATGTTCTGACCTCATCTAATCCCACAAGAGGAAGACAGAATCACCATCAATAGCCCAAGGCCTATTCCTGCCAGGCCAGACATGCTACCTCCCTCCAGCCCTTTCTCCAACCGTTCCTCCCAAAGCACCCACCACCTCTCTCCTGGGTGCGATAATTTGCTGCAGTGGCCACACAGAACTCACAGATTATGGGGTTTATTAGGGAGCACCAGGCTACAATTCAAGTTTAGGAAAAAACGCTCAGTCCTCTCTCCCAGCCCACGGTCCCTCAGCCAAGTCTCTCACAGTCTCTCCCCCAGCAGTGCTGGTCCCTCGGTGTCTTACTCAGCAGCGTGTGTCTCTTGCATCTCTTTCAGTAGCGCGTGTCTCTTTCAGCAGCATGTCTTCCTCAACCAGCAGTCAGAGAGAGTTCTGCCTCAAGAGGCCTCCTTTTGAGCCTGGCAGAGTGGCCAAACCAACCAATCATAACAACAGAATTCTAAGCACCTGAGACTGAGCCTCCCATAACATTGTGTTGTGCCACACCCAGCAGAAATAACCCAGGTGGATAACATTTACAATCAGGAGCTCCTCAGTTGCTCATTCCACCACTGAGTTTACAATGACTTATGGGTAGAAAAGCCATACTAAGTAATTTACTACACTGCATGGGCAATATGTTAATGATGCAGGAAGCATCTAAAGAAGGTGGAAAAGTACACAGGGTCACTGTACCAAAAACAACTGGTTGACATTCAACCATTTCAGGAGGTAGCATATGATCAAGAACTGACAGTATTAAAGGAAGAAGTCTAAAGCTGCACTAAAGGTGAAAGACAAGGCTCCAGGAATTGATGGAAGACCAATTAAGAAATGGTATGCAACTTCAAAAAATGGATGCTCACTGGAAGCACTTGCCCATGGCAAGAAACTTAGAAGATAGCTACCTGGCCAATCAATTGGAATAGACCCATATCTGTGCTCAATCTAAAGAAAAGTGACTAATAGAGGCTGGAAATTATTGAATAATATCATACGCAAGTAAAATTTTGCAGAAGATAATTCAAAAACAGTTGCAGCAGTACATCAACAGGTAACTGCCAGAAATTCAAGCTGAATTCTGAAGAGGACTTGGATATCACTGCTAATGTCAGATGGATCTTGGCTGAAAGCAAAGAATACAAGAAAGATGTTTACTTGTGTTATTGACTATGCAGAAGCATTAAACTGTGTGGATCATAACCAGTTACGGATAACATTGCAAAGAATGGGAATTCCAAGGCACTTAATTGTGCTCATGAGAAACTTATACACAGACCAAGATGCAGTTGTTCAAACAGAAAAAAGGGATACTGTGTGGCTTCAAAGCAGAAAAGGTGGGTGCCAGGGTTGTTTCCTTTCACCATTCTTATTCAATCTGTATGCTGAGCAAATAATCTAAGAAGGTAGACTACATGAAGAAGAACATGGCTTCAGGATTGGAGGACAACTCATTAACAGCCTGTGATAAGTATGCACAACTCTGCTTGCTAAAAAGTGAAAAGGACTTGAAGCACTTACTGATGAAAATCAAAGACTACAGCCTTCAGTACAGATTACACCTTAACATAAAGAAAACAAGAATCAGAGAAAAGACTGAAGTTGTTAAGGATTTCATTTTACTTGGATCAACAATTAACACCCATGGAAGCAGCTAGCAGTCAAGAAATCAAATGATATACTGCATTGGATTTTTGTCCTGCAAAAGACTCTTTAGAGTGTTAAAAAGCGAAGATGTCACTTTGATGACGAAGGTATGCCTGGGCTAAACCACGGTATTTTCAATTGCCTCATATGCGTGCGAAAGCTGTGCAATGAATAAAGAAGAACCAAGTAGAACTGATGTATTTAAATTAAGGTGTTGGCAAAGAATACTCAATATACCATGGACTATCAAAAGAACAGGAGCTTTGGTGGCGTAGTGCCTAAGGCATTTGACTGCTAACCAGAAGGCTGGCAGTTCAAACCCACCAGCCACTCCTGGGAAGGAAGACTGGGGCTCTCTACTTCCGTAGAGATTACCGCCTCAGAAACCCAAGGAGGGGTCACTTTGAGTCAGAACTGACTCCACAGCACAGAGTTTGTTTTTTGCTTTCAAAAGAACAAACAAATGTATATTGCAAGAAGTACAGCCAGAATGTTTCTTAGACAGGAGCATGGGGAGACTTTGTCCCATATATGTTATCAGGAGGGACCAATCCCTGGAGAAAGACATCATGTGGGGTAAAGAGGAGGGAGACCTTCTACAAGAAGTGCTGACATGGTGGCTGCCAACAACGGGCTCAAACATAGCAAGGATTATGAGAACGGCGGAGGACCACGCATGACTAGTTAATATTGCGTTTTGTTTGCACATAACGTTACTGAGTCAGTACAGTGATGACACTGAACAACAACACATCCTGGCTAATTTTACTGGAAACATGATCTCCCAAGTGCTATCTTAACATTCTGAGTTTGCAAAGAGAAGTCCAAATAATGATCTGAACTATTAAAATATTTAAGCATCCAAGAAATTAAGTGCTCTTTCTCTTTCTGAAAATGATCTCTTTCTGAAATTGTTATTACTTCCACTGCCACCAAACAAGTTCTCAGATTCTAACAGGATTAATATTAAAAAAAAAAAAAAAAGTGTGAAAAGAGTAAATGAAAACTATCAACAAAGAGGAAGGGTCACTGATTCCAAAGGAAAGAAAACTATCAAATCTGATAAACTATTTTCTAGAAATGTTATAACTTTCTCAATAACTGTGTACACCAAAAGTCTACAAAACATTCTCAATTTATATTCTGTAGCTCTACGGAGAAAAACATTTAAAACTAACTTTCTCGAGAAAGTTAAAATGGCCTGACTTTAAAATCTAGGCTTGCTTTTTAAAACACTAAAACAGAGAGCTAAAATCACAGCTTGTTTCAGTTCATGACCATGATTTGTACGTCACCAAATGCTTAGGCAACTTCATGCAATTGCAAAGGAAAAAAAAAAAAAAAAAGATTCAGAAGCAATGAAAATAATGGACAGTACACTCTATGGCTACTTTCCACATTCTAACAATGATGCGAACTTGTAACCAAATTGTTCATCCCAAGTACGGGAAGATTCTACCAGTCTTTACATTTTCCCACCGCCAAAGGGCAAAGTCAACGTCTGCTTTCCATCTGCTGCTCTCACTTTCAAGACCTCGGTCATCCCAATACCTCTAAAAGCACAAGCTTTATTGGCCCAGGATTCTTCTCACCGTCATTGCATTTATATTGGCAGAGCCCGTCCTCGCCTCCCAGGAGGTCCAAAGCTGCGTTCAGGTACGTGTCTATCTTGTGAACACCATTCCGGATGGTCTTAAGGGTGGCCCTCCAGTCTGTGGTATGGGCCTGCTCCTGGCACCTGAGAGCGGCGGCCAGGAGGAGGATCAAGAGGGCTGGCGCGAACCGTGGCCGCGGAAGCAGGGCCATCCACTCAGCGCCGGGCCTCACTGGGCCCCACCGAGACCCCCGGGCGCCTTAGGATGCGGCGCGGGCCCGGGGCTAGGCAGCCGCTGCGGGCTCCATGCCCACGCCTCCTTCCCGGCTGGCTGTGCCGCCCTCGCCACCGCCGCCTTCACGGAGCTCCCGCGGGAAGGCGGCGACGTCGCGGATACGCGCATTCGGTCGCGCATGCACACCTGGACAGGCAGCTTCCCGCGCGCGCCTGCGCAGGAGCGTGATGCGTCAGCGGGGGAATTGAGGGCGGGATCGCGGCGGCGTCCTTCACAACCACGTGGTTTCGTGGCTCGTGGCTCTAGTTCCTTGCATTAGAACTACCCTGGGAACTTTAAAAAAATACCAGTGTTCGGTCCTCTTCCCCAGGGTATCTGATTAAGCCGGCCGGAAGTGGCAATGGGTATCGTGCAGTCAGGGTGGCGAACTTGTGTGACTGAATCTGCGCAATCAGGGTTTATCCCCGCCACCACGGGACAAAATCCCGAGTGTGGAACAACTTCAGAGACTTGAGTTCCAGAAGGCCCTGGCAGAGAGCGCTGCGAGGGGTCCAGATGGATTATGTCGTACGCCTGGGCTTCCCTTGCTGAGCGCGGGTTCAACACTACCAGTTATGGCCACAGAAGGAAGAACTGAAACCAGTAAATGTCAACCCAAGGGGTGGTGGGATGCCTGGCTTTGATTATATTGTGCTAGACGCTGCTTAGGAGCTCTGGTAGCGTAGTGCCTAAAGCATTTGACTGCTAACCAGAAGGCTGGTGGTTCAAACCCACTAGCCACTCTTCGAAAGGAAGATGGGGCAATCTACTTCCGTAGTGATACTGCCTCAGTCGGGTCCGACTCCAGGGCACAGAAGAACAACAACAGACGCTGCTTTGGACTTTCTGCAAGAAGAAATGATTTGACAGAGAAAAACGAGTCTTCCCGGGTAAGGAAGAAGCAGTATTCTGCATTCGAATGCAGTTTAAATAAATAAATAAATCACACACACACACACACACACACACACACACACACATCTTAAGGAAATTATTGTTTTCTTTTTTTTTTCCCCGCAAGGTATTTTGTAAATTGATAGCTACAGTGACGCTTCTCTGTATTTTTTCCCCAGTGGTGTGTAGGATCCTTAAATAACAATTGCAGTAATTTTTACCAGAGCTGTAAATACCTACGTATCTTTGTATCCTAGTAGCTGTTACGAATTTTATCCAGTAGCATCTCGGGCAATGTTGCAAGTGTTAGGAATACTTCCTATAATAAGAATACTTCCTATAATAAGAAGTGGGAAGGAAGGTTGGGCAATCAACTTCCATAGTCATACTGCCTGGGAAACCCAAGGAGGGGTCGCTATGAGTCGGATCCGACTCCATGGCAAAACACAACAAACAGCATAATAAGAAGAATATAAGAAGCTTATGTAATATGGTGGCATAGTGCCTGAGGCATTGGACCGCTAACCGGAAGGTTGGCGGTTGCAACGCACCAGTCATTTGGCAGAGGAAGACTGGGCAATCTACTTCCGTAAAGCTTTCCCGCCGTTGAAACCCAATGGGGTCCCTATGAGTCGGAATCCACTCAATGGCAGTGAGTGTGTGTGTGCGTGTAGTAAGAATTATTAATGAATATTAGTTTGTCCTTTTGTGTTTGTTACAAGCTTAATGAGTTTATCATCTGGTGGTGTAGTGCTTAAGGCATTTGACTGTTAACCAGAAGGCGGTTCCAACCCACCAACCACTCCTCAGAAGGGCAGTTGGGCCATCTACTTCCATAGAGATACTGCCTCGGAAACCCAAGGAGGGGTCACTATGAGTCCGATGCCACTCTACAACAGTGAGTTTGGAGGGGTTTTTTTTCCCCCCACAGAGTTAATAAAAATTGCATCCTTATTTATTGAGAGCTTACTCTGGGCCAGGCACTTCCCTGTACATCATCTCTCTCATTTGAAACACACTTTTTAGAGATTCAAGGAGCCAGCGTGGCACAGTGATTAAAGCATTCCACTGCCAACCAAAAGGTTAAGGGTTCTAACCTAAGAGCCGCTCTGCAAGAGAAAGATGAGGCATTCTGCTTGAGTAAAGATTACATCCTCGGAAACTCTAGCGGGCAGTTCTCTGTCCTGTAGTGTCACTATGTCAGAGTGGATTCAGTGGCAATGAGTTTGGGATTTTAGGGATTCAGCCTTTGGGTGAATTAGAAACAGAAGAAAGTTGTCTTCCCCCACAGGTTGAAGGAGTCCCATTCCAGGGTGGGTTAGCAGAAAGCCAGTTGGCCTTTAGTCTGTATTCTGCCCCTCAGCCAGGCTGTGTTGTCATCAGCCTGTACCCTAGTGGAGGAAGGGGAGAATGTGCCAGGGCAGATAATACTACATCATTTCTTAATGAGGAATCAAGGTGCAGAGAAGTCAAGTGACAGTCTTCAGTGAAACGAAGGCCCTCTCAATCCAATGATTTTTTTTTTTTTTTTTTTTTTGAGTACCACCTTTCAATGCGTTTGGAAAAGGGAACATAGAATCATTTTCTCAGATTTCTGGACCATTGATTGTCTCATCTCTAAGGTATAAATGGATTAGATTACTTATGAGGTGCCACCCAGCTCCACCACCAGAATCCTTAAATAAGGCTTGGTCCCTCTAAACTGTCTTCCAGAGAAACTCCCTGCTCCATGAATCCTGTAACCAAAACCAAACCCATTGCTGTCAAATCGGTCCTGACTTACAGTGACTCTATGGGACAAAGCAGAACTGACTCATAGGATATGCAAGGCTGTGATCTTTACCAAAATGGACAGCTACATCTTTCTCCCTAGGAGCTACTAGTAGGCTGAACCACCAGCTTTTTAATTAACAGCCAAGTGCTTAACCACTTCATCACCAGGACTCCTTGGTCCAAGATGAATTTTCCAAATGAGAGAACTGATTGCAGCTAGGTAATCTATCCCAGAGTCCCTGGTGGTACATACAATTAACGCACAAAAACGTTAGAGGTTCAAGCTACCCGGAAGTGTCTTGGGAAAAAGACTTGGTAATCTAGTTTTGAAAAATCAGCCACTGAAAATTCTATGGCACACAGTTCTACTCTCACACACGTGGAATCTCCATGAGTCAGAATCAACTCCATGGCAACTGGTTTGGCTTTTTTTTGGACCTTGGTTCCAGCCTCAGTTAAAATAGACTCAAAGACTCTCTTTTTCCTTTCTCTATATATTTATTTGTTGGTGATCTTATCTAACTTCTTACACTGTGATTCCAACCTCTGCTGAGGTCTCATATTTATGATTCTGTGTCTCTTGTATCCTTAGGGATTAAATTCTCAAACTCCAGTTTTGTTTTCTTTATCTCAAGCAAATCATCTTGTCTACTGTGTTCCCTATGGGATTCACTACCATCTTTCTAGAAAACAAAGTTCTAAATTTTATGTTGTATGTTCTCTTCATACTTAATCAATAGATAGTTGCTTGAGTCTTCTGTTACAATAACTCCTGAAAAAACCCTTTTTCTTTTAACTCTTGCTGTCAAATACCAACTCTAGGCCTTGACCACAGAACTGGGTGCATAATTTGTGTGACCTAGTACAAAATAAAAATGCAGAATCCCTTGTTCAAAATTTTAAGAATTTCAAGCAGTTGACAGCAGAGCATTAAGCCAACTGCAGGACCATTCTGAGTGTGGGACCTTGCACAACTGCACAGGTTTCATGCTGATTGACTGTATCATGTAGCTTCTTCTAGATTATGACTTCTACCTTTTCTTCTCAATAATTAACATAAAATGTTTGAAAACCAGAAAAACCAAATTCACTGCCATCATGTCTGACTCATAGTGTCTGCCTTTGGGTTTCCAAGGCAGTAATCTTTATGGAAGTAGATTGCCCAGTCTTCCTTCCATGGAGTGGCTGGTGGGTTTGAACCACCAACCTTCTGGTTAGCAGTCAAACGCTTTAGGCACTAGGCCAGCAGAACTCCTTAAATGTTTGAAAGAGGCTTCTTTATACATCATCTAATCAACAAAATCTGTGCTTACTCCTGTTTATTATTATGGCAGACACTCTTGGTTGCAAACCCACAGTTCTCTTTCAAGTCTTTCCTGCTAGAGAATGGATAGTTTGTCCATATATTTGGCCCAGTGTCTTTCCTCAACACTAGGGGAAGACTTTTGAGGAGCTTTGGTGGCATAGTGCTTATGGCATTTGACTGCTAACCAAAAGGTTGGCTGTTCAAACCCACCAGCCACTCCTTGGAAGGAAAGTTGGGCAATCTACTTCCATAGTGATACCATCTTGGAAACCCAAGGAGAGGTCACTGTGAGTTGGATCCAACTCGACAGCAGTGAGGGTTGTTGTTTTTTTTTTTTTTTTTGGTCTGTTTGTTTTAGACCAATCATAGCAATTACAGTTCTTTTTCCTATGATTGATCTAAGAATAGGCATGTGATGTCATTTGAACCAGTGAGATAAGAAGTCTGCTATCGGCCTTCTGTAAACACTTTCCTCAGTTTTAAAAAGAGATAGGAGGCAGAGATCTGCTTTTCTCGCTCTTTCCTTCCTCTGGATATTGTTGAGTGATGATAGGAAGTTGGAACTGCTGCAGCCATCTTGTAGCCATAAGAGGACAAGCCTGTAGACAAAAGCAAATAGGCTGAGGATGACAGAGCAGAAAGAGGGAAAGAATTTTGCTTCTTAATGATTTAATGCAGCTGCAAAGGCCAATTCTTCAGCTTCTTGTTATATAAAAGGATTATTTTTTTGTTCTGTTTAAACCAGTTCATTGTTTGATTCAGTAATTATATATTGAGCACCTACTAGCTGCCAAGCACTGTTCTTTAGAATATAGAATATTTAGAACAAAAACCACTGCCCTCTACGAATCTAACTCCTAGTGGGAAAACAATAAACAAATAATATGACATAAGTGTTACAGAGAAAACTGAAGTGGGGAATGGGGGTTAGGGAGTGTTGTGTTTCTGTAGTTGTGGATGTGGGT